CTCTCCATAAGAAATATCCTCTTTTTAAGAAATATGCAACTGTTAACAGGTTAGTACTCGGAACAGGTAATGAGAAGTTCATACTCTCTTAGAAAGGAGAGGACCTTTTGCTTCCCTCACACCTCCTACATTCATGTCCAGACCCTGATCATGTTGCTCACTTGCAGAGGGGAATCCGTGCCTTCTCAACAATCCCACTAGTATTCCAAGTGGGTAAAAAGTGCCACCTCAGTAAAAACCCTCTAGTGGTGGTTTCTGTGTCTGCCATGCAAGCCTAACCCCAAGGCTTATTATTCAAGGAAGGAATTTTACATGGTTGAAAACAAAAAAAACAAAACCCAAGCCAAATTTATTTCCAGATGATCTCAGTAAAAGAGGAAGACTTAGGCTGAAATGCCCTCTATCCATTGAAAATGTCATTATATTCTCCACAACTACTTCAATCTGGAGCCCATAAATCCATGAGAAGTGGTTATATAGAACTTAATTTTGTTGGTGGCATCCAGGCTCTCCTGCCAACCCTTTTATGCCTTACATTTATGTTTCGTTCATTCATCCTTGCTTATTTTTCTTGCCCAGTGAAGAATTAAGTTGTTTTTTTCCACTACATCTGCCTTCTCACACACCAGTAGAATTCTTACAGGAAGAGGTTTCTGATAAGAAAGCAACTTAGATTCCATCCATAGAAGACCAAGCAAACTTTAGAGTAAATCTGGGATACTGACTGTAACTCTATTTATAGACTCTGAAGTCAGACTGAACACAAGGTCAATTTCTCTTTCAGGCTGCAATGAACCTCTCAAATCTGCTGAACTTAATAAAGCTGCAGCAACATAAGAAAAATAAGAACATTGTCCATAATCCATATTTCTGATAGCTCCTGCCAAATAATTTGCCATACATGCGACTTACAAGTATTTTTGGGAGTGTTTTTGCTTGCAGAGACAACAGGAGTTACGTTACCATCCAAAGGAGGTAATGCAGATAAATCCTTATAGGTCACACTGGAAAAGTAATCTGAAATGCACTGCTAAAGACTGAAAAGACACAGCTTTTGTCCTTAAGAATCTTTTCCAAAGTCCTCACTCATGCACAATGTTCAGTGTCATCAAGTAGATTTGCATTCAGAAAGAGGGCAATATCAAGGTAAATAAATATTTTAAATTATCTTGTTTATTTTATACCAGTATAAAAACCCCATCTAAGTAGACATCATTTACATTATCTGCATTAAAACCCTTCTGCACTAACAAAGAAGTGGTACCAGCGCTACAGAGCAAGACAGAATAAGATCACTCATCTGTAACAATGGCAGTAAGGCAAGGAATATGGTCCTAGTTCTTTCCTTACATGTGTTAGGGCAATAGTGTCAGACATGTTTTTATGACTGCAGAAGGCACACATTAAATAGGTGAGCTCAGTTTAATGCCTTACAATACAATACAACTGTCCTGAAAAAGGGACCACTCATGTTCCACAACCTTCCTTGGAAATCTAAAAAACAACATTTCATGTGAAAGCCTGAAAAAGTACACTCTTATAATTACTTATAGCAAAAGTTGGAAATAGACAAGAGCCACATTAAACACATGGCTCACCAAGCAGTGTTGACAGATAAAAACATTGCAAGCGTGTGTGCATTTCAAGTAGCATTGTTGTGCTTGGTTGCCTAAGCTAAGGGACACTGCATTTCCTTAGGTTCCTTTTAGTTCTACTATAATACAGGGTAGGGGAAATGAAAAGGTTTGTGGAGGCTGTTGAACTTTTCTTGAAAACTTAAGAAATAAATTTATTATGAAAAAAAGAGAAATTATGTTTTAAGTCTTCCATTATAAGGCAGTATGATTTCCACTTCCACTCCACACCAGTCCAGCAGGGTAGGGACTAAAAGACAGCTGATCTCAAGTCTCACAGACCACAGAACAAACCACTTCTACCAGCTCTTAGAAATACCACTGCTGTCCTCTTTCTACCAGTGAGAAAACCAAGGTCAGAGGTGAGTTGACCTTGTCTAGGGTTACAGAGCAGAATGGATAAAATAATTCCCACCCTCTTTGGCCAGGCTTTCTAATTTCCAATACTTTTTTATTTTTGTGTGATACTGAAGAAAGAAAGGGCCACTTCCATAGATCTTTCAGCTGCTGTTTTAGCACACATGGGCAGTGGAAGTGTAGTGGGTCAAGCAGTAGAAGTCTCCTATCTCATGGTACACATCTATATATTCAAAAGACACAAAGGCCATGGTTCTCCTAATATTTTCCACAGTAGACAGCACGTCCATCCAAAATGTAATTCTTTTTCTTTAAATTTTTTTTCTTTTCTTTTTTGCTGTTTGAAATGCCCAATGACATTTAAGTTTTTGCCAAGAGCATCTAATGCAAAAATGGTCAAATTGTTGCATTTTCTTGATATCCTGAGTTGACACAGGCTAAATGTTACCTCAACTAAGTCATTGAAAATGTTGTTCACATTCAGAGAGACAGTACTAAACTACAACTCAACTTTCTTTCCTACAGTGTTCTTCATATATTTTTGGACATCTGTGACCACCAAGGAGCCTGGATTACAGCAGACCATAATATTCTACGAACCATGGTTATAATTAGGCATCACCTCCATTGTAATCCTATGGACGTCATCATGTGTTACCAGCATCTGTTGACAGATTTCATACCAGGCATATCACTGAAATGGCAAGTCTGGAGAGGGCAGCCCACAATAGAAACAATGGCATTTATTTTTGGTTTGTTCCAAGACTGTCTAATAGAAAATATATGCTGCCAACTGCCAGGGCTCCACCATGATCACTTCTGAATATTGTATTACCAGTTAGAACAAGGATCTGTGCCCATGTACTTGCAGTCTTCTGATAATGAATAAGGAAACTAAGAAAGCACTTTCTGCAACTGTCTGAGCACAAATTAGAAAAGACAGAAGCCTTGACATTCTACAAAGTTTACCAGGCCCTTTATCATGCAAGTACTTACTATTCATGTAATAATAAATTCAGATTTCTTTCCAAGATGAAGAACAAGGATCCCATCTTATAAATTTTATTTGAATATGGTATCACATTTAATATCAAAACTAAACCCTGGGAGTTGGCAACATGAAGTAGCAAAACAACACTCTCTACCCTATGGAAGCAAAGCAGGGTCTGCTTTAATTTGACAGTGTGGAAATCTGACTTTCTGCTGAAGTACTGCTTGTTCAGAGGAATGGAAACATAAAATTTTCAATGCAGCTTAACTGCTCCCTGATTTCTGTAAAAATCAAGAGACTTATTATAAGACTGTCTACCTAATCCAAACTCTCTTTACTTTTTAACATTTATCTGCATTGAAGGAAAACTGCATTAGAGTGCATTAGCATCTAGTAACCTGCCCATTTTCTTTTGAAAACAGCCTTCTCTGAAATACTGGACAATTGTGTCCTAATCAGATGTAACACAGCCCCTTAAAGCTGAGCAGTTTCAGATCACTAAAGCACTTTAGCACTAAGATAATTTTCATTCTCATTATAAAACATGAAAGTACAGTTCATCATCTGAAGAGTGCCAAATTAAAACATCAAGTGTCGATGAGTGATGAGTACAACTTAATTATTCGTTAGGAGCTGCAGCAGCTGGTACATCAAGAAAAGTGAACTTCAACCTAGAACAGAACTTCTCCCCTTATCCTCACACAGTGGGATCTGAACAGATATAAATGTAAGAAAATGAACAAAACCAGCTACAAATCACAGAAGGAGGGAAGCTACAAGCTAAATCTGAGAGGAAAATATTGCTTCTACAAATTTTAAGGGAAAAGCAAACTCACTGGCTCAACTATTGTAACAGCTCTAACTTTAATAATTACACTTTTATAGAAGCTGTAACACTGAGACAGACTGTCATTAGATCTAAATGGGCACCTTCTACTTAATCTGCTCATCTATGCAAAATGCATAATCAGCCTTGTTGTCCAGAGCACTGTCTCTCACTCCCTCCCTTTTTCTCATTCTTGTAACCAGCAGATAACCTTTTAATCCCAGATCTGTCAGCTGTGACTTCAGCATCACCTTTTAAATTAGGAAGCAATAAATCCTTTGCATTATTTCATCTTTCTTTTCCATATGCTACTTAAAACTTAATGTTATTAAATCAGATATTGCAAATATTACTAAAGTACCAAAGCATTAACGTGACTGCAGCTGGAATCATAATTTCTGCCTATGTTCAGAAAAAGAACTTGTGAGCAGTACTTGGTGGCACAATAGTTTTCTTACAACTACGAGGCAACACGCATTTTTTCTAAACTGTGTATTCCAATGAGTTGACAGACCTGTTGTTGGGTTTTTTCCCCAGACAGTGAACTGGCATATAGGAACATAATCATGACATACAGTTTTCCAAATATAGCCTGGATATATTTCTAGGCAATACTTTCCTTGTCAGGTCAGTCAGTTAGAATGGAGATAAATAATAAATTATAATAAAAGCTGACTTGCAAGATCACAATTTCAAAAGTGACTTCTCAGTCTGCTTTCAGAAATATTGCAAACTTTTCTGCACACTTAGTTCTGAACCATCTCATTCATCTCTGCCTGTAATTGCAGTTTACTCTTTTTGAAAATCAGTCAGGCACAAACATCAATTCAGAGTCTGCTTTCCAAAAGGAAGATCCAGGAAGTGAAGTTGAAAGCTACCGAAATACTTAGACATAAATCTAGAGGTATTGACAGAATATTTGCAGTGCAATACAAAAATAAACTCCTGGTTCCCATGAATTATTTTCATCTGTTTCATAGGTTTCACTTCAGAATTAAAAAATGGAATGCTTTAAACTAAAAATATGGCATAACTACTATACATTATATATAAAAAAGGTGTATACAATGTAAAATATATTTCATTAGAACCCCCTGTTGTACAACCCCGACAATTCCAGACACAGTATGGCAAAAAGGTAGGGCATCATTCCACACAGAAGCACACAGACAGATACACATTATTTCCAGACCTTCCTTTGCTGTTTCTCCCATGCTGGGTCCAGGAGCAGATCCCTGTCCCATTCTTCTTCTTGGGTCATGTACTCATCCTCTTCATAGTTGTAGGTGTACTGCATGTTTGTTTCTATCTGATTCATGCTATTCATGCTACCCGGGGATCAGCTTCAGCTGCTGTGGCTTCTACTACGATTTAAGTTTCGTTTACTTGCTGAGAGGTTGTAGGTGGCAGTGTCCTTTTTCCTTCTTCCCTTTTTTTTTTTTTTTTTTAATTTTTCTTTTTGCAAGGTGACAGGAAATGAATATTGACTAATCTTGCTGAGAGCAGAGGCTGAAACTGCCAGGTAGGCGCTGACCTGTGATGACCTTCCTTCCCTGCGTGCTGCTGCTGTCAGTCCCTGTGGCTGACCCTGCGGAGGAGCCCGGGGCGGCTCCGTGCCGCCGCTTATTATCCCCGCCGGGCCGTCACGTGGCGCCCGGGAGCCCCGGCCCCACTCGGCTCACCTCATCCCGCCCGTCTGCCCTTCCAGCCCGAGGCCCACTGGGCCCTTCTTTCGCTTTGGCTCTTACTGACAAGTATTCTGCGCCCCACGGCCCGCCTGCGACCTGCTAATGCAGTTCGACGCTGCTTAGCGCCAGTCTGAGCCCGTGACCCGCCTTGAGCCTCCTCGCGCTTTCAGATTAAGGATTACACGAGCCAGCCCGGCAAGGACACCCAAGTGATGAAACGTTTTCCAGTGGAAATAGGTCTGGAGTTAACCAGACAGCAGGGAAAGGCAACTTTAAAAAGCAACTCATCTTTTTGCCAAAAACCACGCCCAGTAAATCCAAAAGCAGGCACCGAGATGCACATGCAAAGCTTTGTGGAACCAGTAACTTTACAAGCCTGCAGCAGGGACCATTTGCCCGTGCTTTGCGCAGGGCAAAATCTCAAAGGATAGCGCTGAGATCAAACATCCTGGCAAGTATGTCCGGTATCTCCCGTGCCCTCTCATTTCAGTTGCTTTGGCAACGATGTTTCTTCTGGGAATTGGCAAGTTTACTACATTCTTCATGGAGCTTGTCATTAATGCCTGCACCTATCATCAGCCAAGGTCATCTTCTCTAGCAGTGTCCACACGGGATGCAACACCAACCTCACCTAGGAAATTAAAATGAGCACCAAAGCTGAGCTTTTGGAAGCCGTAAGTTACAAAATCAGTTGTAAGGGAAAACTGTGCTCATTAAAGGCTCAGTAGGTCTCCAAACCAGTGGTGAATGAATAACCAGGATAATTTACACCTAGATAGCATATGCCCTCCATTTCATATTGCTAGCTAAAACTCTGTTTTCTTCCAATTCACCTTCTCTCCCTTAACTCCAAGCAATATAGAAAAATATGCATACATGCACAGAAAATACCTACTCAGCTCAAAAAAAACTTCATAAATGCAGCACTAAAACTGCAAATTGGAATTCAGAAGATTGCAACAAATCATGCAATAACAGCAAGCTGAACTTCTGAAGACTGATGTACATACTGTGAGATAAACAGTCTAAAAATGAAATTCCAAATCTAAGCAGCCAGACAGAACCACATGCTTTTCACCTGCTCACTGCAAATACTCTCAAGGTTGCTACACTTCTATCTACATACCAAAGCAAATGCTATGCTTAGCCTTTTTTGCTCAAACACAAATGAGCATTCTCTTAGGATACTCTGAAACAAGATCAAATAGCAATTAAAAAACAACATAATTCACGTGTGTACACATTATATGTATGCTGGTGTAACTTGTGTGGTTTATTTTTATAGCTTCATACTCACCTTTGGTATTCAATAGAAGTCTGACTGCAATCATTTAAATGACAATTCAAGCCTTCAAAGTCACTAAAACCATTTCTTCTTATTTGCTATATCGAGCACAGGAGAAGTTTCTAAAAGAAATGCAGGAAGAAGTCAGAGGAGTCCTAGAAGTACACACACAAATTGTGATGCTGTTGCCTTCATACAGGGAGGTATTAGCTACAACACACATTTTCTTTTTTGGTCCTCACCCTCTAATATGGGCCAGGGTGCCTGCCTCAGTCATGAAATAAAAACTGAGGTGCTGTGACAAAAAATTTCTTTGACAAAGAATATCCAATCACACTGTGAATTAGGACTGGAATCAGACCCATGTCTAGATTTCTTTGATTTCTAGAAATCAAAGAACTTTTACCCAAATTTTCTATAATTCTTAACGAAGGTTATTAAGTTTTTCATAAAATAACTGGATTTCTCAAAATACAGCTAGCCACTGCTGCAAAGGTACTGTTCATTTTTCCATGTTTACTTGGTACATAGGTGATATGTACCATATGTACAATATTTGCTTGATAACAAAGCAAATAAAACAAAAATGTCTTTGGACAACAGCCAGAACCATAGTATCTCTCAGCTACTCTGAGAGACTTAAAAAAAATCACGTATCAAGATCCACTTTGACTATGTCATATTAGTCCATTTTGAATCAAAAATATTTCAGAATGAAAAAACTTTTTAATTCTGAAAAATTGTCAAAATAGGAGGCTTCAACATTGTCAGTGTGCATTTTGTGAACACTGGGCTTTTTACCTATGAAGCAGGAAGCTAAATGGGGTAACCCCATTTTTAAAAAAAAATCCTGTCCATCTTGATGGAATCTGACCTGCTTTAGGTTCTCTAACTAACTGCTTACTGCCTCTTAATTAGACAGCATGAGTAGGCAGGGGAGATATTTATAGAAAGAACTTTAGAAGGAGTATCTGGCATTTTGTTTACTACTTTAATTTAATTTTATAAACTAACTGTGTGGATGGTAATGAGAATGATATGAATGGAGGTCTGTAGTGGAAAGAGAGCCAAATGTGAAGTGGAAAGGGAGCTGCCTCTTTCTGCTCAACAAGAGAATAGGAAAGCTGTGCCTAGCACAGTACTACGAATAAAGCAGTTTGCTTCACCAAGCTTCTTCCCACATCAGAGGTAGGTCAAGACTATTCCCAAATAAAGCTGGCAGAGTTGCATAGCCATGAACTGTGTGCCTAAAGAGAAAGAAAATAAAACCAAAACAGAAATAAGCAACCTGAGCAAGAAAGAAAGGATAAAAGTCTCAAAGAGAGAAAAAGAAAGAAACACAATGAACCACATGAATAGGGAATCTTAAGTTGATATAGCAAGGTACCCGAGAGTCAGCAAGTATATTTAAGGCAGAAATAACACAAGTTGTTTACAATGGGGCAAGACAAAAGAATATTCATGACTGCCAAACAGATTAGAAAAATAAAGGTGGCAGGGGGATCAGGAGTAGAGATGGCAGAGCTGAATTGTCAACTACTTTTGTATTTTATTTGGCAAAAGATGTGCAGCTGTAGTTCATGCTAACACATGTACGCTAGTAAGGGCCCACCCAGGGGAATGGTGCTTTGAACCCAGGAGAACACTGTGGCAAACAGACATCACTTCCCATGCATGAGGAGCACCAAAAGGCCAGATTTTTCCTAGCAGCAGCAGGTCTGAGTTCACACAAGTGAGTACCACCCAAGTGAAAGCCTTCTGATATGCTTTGCATGAAGCTCCTTGAGAATCAAAGGGCTTTTCTACCTAAAGGACATTAATTGCTATCATTCTTCTTAATGAAATTGAAGGTTTTCACAGAGTTTATATTTAACATTAATTTACTTGTCAAAAACCATCATATCATTCTTTCAAGAACTCTGTCCCTCACTTTTTTACTGTTTCTCAGATTTTCAATCCTTTAATATGTTTCTTACACTTCCCTCTCACAAAATTATAGAATAAACTGACAACTTCTAATAAAACTTCAAAAATGCTGAACACTGCAAAAGTGTTTCACCAGATCATTCTTCTATTTGAACCTAATGACATCTAGAATAAGAAATTAGTCAGATCACTTAAATAATTGCCTGTGAAACAATCAACTGACATGGAAATGGTCACCATTAATTTTCAGCTGTAACACTTCCGTGTAGGAACACAATAGCTCGTATCTGCCAAAACTGTCTCAGAAAGGCCAAGAAAGATAAAGGACCTTATGAGAGCTCAATCAGTCATTGAGTCTTTAAGTAAGCATCTTGTTCTAGTCACAGCCTGTTTCTTTGTGAAAAAGAACAGTAAGATGCTTTCTCAATAAAGAAGTCAATGAAAAGTAAAAGAAAATAAATTCCAAGTGACTATTTTTCTGTGTAAACTGTTAATAGAATCTTAAAATAGGGATCAAAAAGCCTTTTCAAGCATGCCATAACTGTCACTTGTACATAAAATATATTTTTGCTTGTATCAAATATTCACTAGTTTAAAGCTTAACCAACAAAAATATGAATTAGTTAAGAAAATTATTATTTAGATTGGACCAAAATGTTGAATTCTGTTAAAAATTATGCATAAATTTCCCTAACAAAGCTAAGCAGAAAGGTCAGGTGTGTTATAAAACATATTCATCATTTATTAGAGGTGTTTTAGGGTTTGGTTTTTTACAATACAATAAATATAACCTGCCTTCTTCAATGTAAGAAACACACTATATTGTTAGAAGAAAATTAAGGAATTAAATTCATTATGTAAAGGCAGTAGGAATAAACTTTAAACTCACTTAATATTTCTGAAACCAACACATACATTAAAAAAAAAAACCAAACAAACAAAAAAAAAAAAAAAAAAAAAAAAAAAAAAAAACCAAAAAAAACAGAGCCATACATCTGGGAACCAAAACCCAGTTTTGCCTGCGCTAAGGAAAAGCACTGTGGGGCACTGAGCATATTTAGCCCTCCCACATTTAGCATCAAGAGGCACAAACTTTGACTCTGAAAAATCTCCATGCTAGTCATACATGGTGATATTAACTAGACAGTAGCTAATAATTTTTTAAAGTACATTATGTCCAATTACAGGTTTGGAAATAAAAATTAAGAAAGAACAGAAAGAATCCATTTGCTGGCTTCATAGTAACAACTGTCATTGTCAGAAGACCCCAAAGTGTTTCATCAGCTATATATAGAGACAACTTACTCTGTCCCTGGAATTCAGCTGTGGATGAAGTGTAGCAAGAAACATTTATGGGACCAACAAACACTACCAAAGCATAGCTTGGGCTTCAGGGGTATGGAGAAAATGCTGACTGCACTGACATCACTGGCTTTTGCCAACCCTTTGTGCGGAAGGAAAATCACGGGGCTGAGACGTCGTGCGACCATGCCAGCTCAAGATGCCCTTATGTGACCTTGAGCAAGTCAATTCAGATAAAATTTTCCCAAAAATCTGAGTGTTAGCTTGTTAGACTACTCTCATTGAGAGAAACGAGCTTATTGTGCTGCACTGTGCCATCCCTGAAACAGTGTCAGCAATGCTTCCTTTGGTTCCTAATGTCCACCTAAAAAAGAATTCTCAGGGGCAGAGGCTCTGTCTGCCTAAAAGCTCCGAGGAATCTGTACAATTATGGTTACAGTGCGCTTTACCTATCA